TTGTTTGCATATAACACCCAGTGCTCCACGCAGAACATGCCCTCTTTAATACCCATCACCAGGCTAACCCATCCCCCCACCCGCCTCCCCTCTAGAACCCTCAGTTTGTTTCTCAGAGTCCATAGTCTCTCATGGTTCATCTCGCCCTCCGATTTTCCCCCCTTCATTTTTCCCTTCCTCCTATCTTCTTCTTCTTCTTCTTCTTTTTTTAACATATAATGTATTATTTGTTTCAGAGGTACAGGTCTGTAATTCATCAATCTCAGACAATTCACAGCGCTCACCATAGCACAGACCCTTCCCAATGTCTATCACCCAGCCACCCCATCTGTCCCACCCCCTCACCACTCCAGAAACCCTGTTTGTTTCTTGAGATTAAGAGTTTCTTATGGTTTGTCTCCCTCTCTGGTTTCATCTTGTTTCATTTTTTCCTCCCTTCCCCTATGATCCTCTGTCTTGTTTTTCAAATTCCTCCTATCAGTGAGATCATATGATACTTGTCTTTCTCTGATTGACTTATTTCGCTTAGCATAATACCCTCTAGTTCCATCAACATTGTTGCAAATGGCAAGATTCCAGTTTTTTTGATGGCTGCATAATATCCATTGTGTGTGTGTGTGTGTGTGTCTATACACACACACACACACACACACACACCACATCTTCTTTATCCATTCAGCTGTTGATGGACATCTGGGCTCTTTCCACAGTTTGGCTATTGTGGACATTGCTGCTCTAAACATTGGGGTGCATGTACCCCTTTGGATCCCTACATTTGTATCTTTGGGGTAAATACCCAGTAGTGCAATTGCTGGGTCATACGGTAGCTTCATTTTCAACTTTTTGAGGAACGTCCACACTGTTTTCCAGAGTGGCTGCACCAGCTTGCATTCCCACCAACAGTGTAGGAGGGTTCCCCTTTCTCTGCATTCCCACCAACATCTGTTGTTTCCTGACTTGTTAATTTTAGCCATTCTGACTGGTGTGAGGTGGTATCGCATTGAGGTTTTGATTTTATACCACATCTTTTTTTTTTTTAAAGATTTTTATTTATTTATTTGAGAGAGAGAGAATGAGAGATAGAGAGCACAAGAGGGAAGAGGGTCAGAGGGAGAAGCAGACTCCCCATTGAGCAGGGAGCCCGATGTGGGACTTGATCCCGGGACTTCAGGATCATGACCTGAGCTGAAGGCAGTCGCTTAACCAACTGAGCCACCCAGGCGCCCTACCACATCTTCTTTATCCATCCATCAGTTGATGGGCATTTGGACTCTTTCCATAATTTGGCTATTGTTGATAGTGCTGCCATAAACATTGGGATGCAGGTGTGCCTTCAGATTACCACATTTGTATCTTTGGGGTAAATACCTAGTAGTGCAATTGCTGGGTCATAAGGTAACTCTATTTTTACCTTTTTGAGGATCCTCCGTACTAGTTTCCAGAGTAGCTACACCAGTTTGCATTCCCACCAACAGTGTAAGAGGGTTCCCCTTTCTCCACATCCTCACTAACACCTGTTGTTTCCTGTGTTGTTAATTTTAGTGATTCTGACAGGTGTGAGGTGCACCTCATCATGGTTTTGATTTGTATTTCCCTGATGATGAGTGATGTTGAGCATCTTTTCATGTGTCTGTTAGCCATCTGTATGCCTTCTTTGGAAAAATATCTGTTCATATGTTCTGCCCATTTCTTTCCTGGATTGTTTATTTTTTTGGGAGTTGAGTTTGATAAGTTCTTTACACATGTGGGTACTAGCCCTTTATCTGATAAGACATTTGCAAATATCTTCTCCTATTCTGTGGGCTGCCTTTTATTTTGTTGACTGTTTCCTTTGCTGTGCAGAAGTTTTTATCTTGATAAAGTCCCAATAGTTCATTTTTGCTTTTGTTTTCCTTGCCTCCAGAGACGTGTCTAGTAAGAAGTTGCTGCTGCTGAGGTCAAGGAGGTTACTGCCTGTGTTCTCCTCTAGGATTTTGATGGTTTCCTGTCTCACATTTAGGTCTTTCATCTATTTTGAATTTATTTTTGTGTATGGTGTAAGAAACTGGTCCACTTTCATTCTTCTGCGTGTCGCTGTCCAGTTTTCCCAACACCATTTGTTGAAGAGACTTTCTTTTTTCCATTGGATATTCTTTCCTGCTTTGTTGAATATTAGTTGACCATATAGTTGTGGGTCCATTTCTGAATTCTCTATTGTGTTCCATTGATCTATGTGTCTGTTTTTGTGCCAGTACCATACTGTCTTGATGCGTATAGCTTTGTAATATAGCTTGAAGTCTAGAATCATGATGCCTCCAGCTTTGCTTTTCTTTTTCAGAATTGCTTTGGCTCTTTGGGGTCTTCTGTGGTTCCATACAGATTTTAGGATTGTTTGTTCTTGCTCTGTGAAAAATGCTGTGGTATTTTGATCAGGATTGCATTAAATGTGTAGATCGCTTTGGGTAATATGGACATATTTAACAATATTTGTTCTTCCAATCCATGAATGTGTAATATTTTTCCATTTCCTCTTCAATTTCTTTTATAAGTGTTCTATAGTTTTCAGAGTACAGATCTTTTACCTCTTTGGTGAGGTTTATTCCTAGGTATCTTATTGTATTTGGTACAATTGTAAATGGGATTGATTCCTTGATTTATTTTTCTGCTGCTTTATTATTAGTGTATAGAAACGCAACAAATTTCTGTCCATTGATTTTATATCCTGTGACTTTGCTGAATTCATGTATTAGTTCTAGCAATTTTTGGGGGGATACTTTCTTTTATATGTAACATATTTCAGGGGCACCTGGGTGGCTCAGTCAGTTAAGCATTTGACTCTTGATTTTGGTTCATGTTATAATCTCAGGGTTATGGTATTGAGCCTCGCATCTGGCTCTGTTCTCAGTGGGGAGTCCGCTTGAAATTCTTTCCTTCTCCATCTGCCCCTCCCCCACTTGTGCCCTCTCTCTCTCAAATAAATAAATACATCCAAAAAAATAAATATATGTAACATTTCATGTGAAGTTTAGCAATTTAAAACCTTAGGGCCAGAGAATACGCTCTTCTTTTCATTTTCTGGAAACTCCTCCCTTTATCCCCAGTTTGATCTGGTGAAGAATTTTTATTTTTCTTGCTTTTTTCTTTTTTAAAAATTTTAAAAATTCCTTTTTTTTGTTTATTGTGTTAATTCAACTATAATTACCATATAGTGTTATACTAGTTTCAGGTGTACAATACAGTGATTCAACAATTCTATACATTACTCAGTGCTCATCACAAGTGCACTCCTTATCCCCTTCACGTAGTTCACCCATTCCCTGACCCACTGCTCTCCTGGCAACTGCCAGTTTGTTCTCTATAGTTTAGAGTCTAGGTTTTTTTGGGTGTCCCTTTTTTTCTTTGTTAATTTGTTTTGTTTTTTAAATTCCACATATGAGTGAAGAATTTATATTTTTCTTTTTTTTTTGACTACTTGTCTTTTAAAACTCCTTTTACCTTACTGATTCAATTATTACATGCTCACATATTGTTAAATATGCAGATAATAGTTAGAAAATGTTTTACTTTTGAATATTTTATGAGCTCTAGAATTTGAGTGACTTGCAAGTTTGTATAGCAATCCATGTATCAAAATTAAGTAAGAGTTTATTTTTCTATCCGTTTACCCATTCACAAAGACCTTAATTTTTAGGAGCATTATAACCAAATGATGGCCACTTGCATGGGAGGCAAAAGTTAAGTCCCTAGTGGACATGTGTGATACCCTGCACATTCTAGCAGCATCCTATCAATCCCAAGTAGCCACAAGTCATGAGTTTTGATAACTAACAAAAATGGAAGTCAGTGCTGGAGAGTGTCTAGTGATGTGTTCATTCTCATGCATAGTCAACAAGAGTGTAATTAATACCATCCCACTTTCCTGAAAAATAGTGTAGCAGTAAATGTCAAAAGCTTTAAAAATATTTATATTCTTTAGCTCAGGAAAGCCACTTCTAGGACTCTAGCTGAAAGAAATGATCTGAAATGCCAAAAAAGATTTGGGCACAAAATGCTCATTATAGCATCACTTAAAACATCCCCTTGTTTTAACTGATGATATAATCTAAATATTCAGTTATAGGAGAATAGTCATTTATGGGTCATTATACCATAAAATACTATCTTTCACAATTACTTTTGAAAAACATGAAATGAGAAAATTCTCAAGTTATAATTCAACATGAAATTTGAGTATGGATGCTGTATACAAATTGTGTTTATTTATTGCCCTTTATTTATGGTATGGTTTCAACTACGTGCATAGAAAATGACCAAAAGTTATCTTTTAATGATGGAATTATGCATGGTTTTATTCTTTATATTTAAGAAAATACACAGTAAAACATTGTTTTAAAAATAATCTTCTTGCAAAATAAATATAGTCTCATTTAATGGTAAAGTTCAGTCTGTATATATTTTCTGAATTTTCAGTTCCAATTTCACATAAATGTTATATTATCTAACAATTTAAAATATATTTAAAGTAACACCATTTAAAACTCTCTTTCATCACACCATTCAGAAATTCTGGTATCCTTTTAAAGCAAATTTTTCTTCATAGTGATGAATTTCATATTTAATTTATAACCTTCATTATAAATTTTGCTACACTCATCCAATTAAAAATTTTATTGAGCCCTTCCTTAAATAGCCTTTTAAATTTTTTATTGTATAGATTGATTGCCTAACGCAGTGTTTCTCAACCATTTTTTCATCATCACCTCCTTAAGGAGCCTTTTGAGACATTGTTTTCCTAATTGCCCCCCACCCTATGAAATTTTAATATCTGTTTATGTACTGTGTGTATATCCATGATTTATACATAAAAAAAGTAATTTTTTTCACTCTCCCAAGAATCAATTTTCACCCCATTGGTGATGATATTGTCTCCTTTGAGAATGTATGGCTTAAAAGAACATTATGGGAAAATGTTATTTTAACTTTTACAATGAGTCTCAAGTCCACATGTTTTGTTTTTATAGCTGTCTGCCTCTCAAACATCATATGGTGACCATTCCAACGCTACTACTGTGGGGAGAGAAAGATGCATTTATGGAGGTTGAGATGGCTGAAGTCACAAAGATTTACGTTAAAAATTATTTCAGGCTGACTATTTTGTCAGAAGTCAGTCATTGGCTTCAGCAAGAACAACCTGACATAGTGAACAAACTGATATGGACATTTCTGAAAGAAGAAATAAGAAAAAAAGATTGACTTTTCTATATCTTCTATGAGGGGTCTGTAATGAAATCTCTAAGTAATTTTTAATAATTATTCATCAACCTCTTTAAGCTTCATTAGGAAAAAATTGTTTTAATATGCTTTATCATGAATATCCTGACAAATGATACTGAAAAAAATCTGAGAATGTGTGAAATTGTAAAATGTTGATTTTCTTCTGTTGGATTTTGCACGGAAAAGAATCTGCCTTAAAATGTGTATATTGATACAAAAAGGAAGTTGGGGAAAGTGGCTCTGTTTTGATTTCTTGCATTCTTTACCCTGTTAACATCTGGTGCCTTTTACAAATGTATATGGAAGATTAGCTGCGCCATATTTAAAAAGGCAAACCTGCAATGGTATAAATTTTCATTTTATTGTTCAAAACTTCTTTTTACTATTTTTCAACCATTAAAAAATTCTATTGTCAAATCTCTCGGGTTTATAATATATTTATGAGTTTGAAGGCAAATATGATTAGAAGAATATACATTCTTAAAAAAGGCCATAAATACTACTTATACTGGAAAGATTAACAAGAGATGATATAGAGATTCTCATGTATACATATATATATGTGTGTGTGTGTATTAAATACTGCAAAGTAGGAAAGCACATCTATCAAATTACTTGTCTTAATTTTCCAGCTAAATTGGTGAGAGATTTAGACAAAAGATCAAAATATCCTTTTGCCCCAATAATGCAACCAGAATTGAATTCTGTACTTCCTATGTGCACTAGAATCTAAGTTCCACAAGGCATAGATTTTTTTATTGTTTTATTAACTGACATATATCCAGCATCTAGAATAAGGGCCTAGGTCCCTTGTAGGCACTCACATATTTGCTTAATGAATAAATAACATATCTCACACACTGCTAGGCACTATGGGGGAAATATAAAGGAAAGATGACATGGTAATATGGAACTTTCCCTTAAGAAGTATAAACAGGGGCATTAATTAAGCGTCTGCCTTCTGCTCAGGTCATGATCCCAGGGTCCTGGGATGGAGCCTTGCATTGGGCTCCCTGCTTCTCCCCCCTCCTCCCCACTCATGCTCTCTCTTGCTATCTCTGTCTCTGTCTCTCAAATAAATAAAATCTTTAAAAAAGGAAGTATACACAGAATGCAGTTAAATTAAACAAGGACTCAAGAGTAGTAATGAACATTACAAATAAGAGTGGGAAGACTTACAGAATAGAGAATGATACAAGCTCAAGGGAATACTACTCATTCTCTAGGGTTGGTCTCATTTGGCATGGGAGACAATCAGTAACATTGCCAAATCATGGCTCCTTAGAGGCTACAACTATGTTCCCAAATAAGACTAAGTTGGTGAAAAAAATATCTCCCTCACTAAGTGTAGTTCTGATAGTGACAGAAGAAAGTGGAATGTCCTTAAGAATTCTCATCACTGTATCCTAAGCAACTTTTATTTACTAATAAAAACCCAACTTTCTATATACATTTTTGCTTGTGCCTCATAATAACATTGCAAGGTAGAGTATTACCAGTTTATAGATGTGAAAATAAGGTTCGTCAATGCCACAGTATAACTGTTAGAACCAGAATCTGACCTAGATTCATCATAAAGCCTCTAATCTTCCCAGTAAAATAACAGGCTCTGTATCTATACTGTTCTGTTTTACTGGTAACCTGGTGTGTTCCAATAAATAGAAATATCTCTCAGAAGCCTATAATTTGACTTTTAATTCTGGGGAAAGGAATTTAAATCAGTAATTAGCAAATTAGCATTGTCAGAGTTGCAAATGTTACAAGGTATAGAAGAGAGAGCCTGGTTCACAGCAACTTTGATTATGCTTCTCTCTTGATCATTTCTTCTTTTTTTTAAAGATTTTATTTATTTATTTGAGAGAGAGAATGAGATAGAGAGAGAGAGCATGAAGGGGGCAGGGTCCGAGGGAGAAGCAGACTCCCTGCTGAGCAGGGAGCCCGATGCAGGACTCAGTCCCAGGACTCCAGGATCATGACCTGAGCCGAAGGCAGTCGCTTAACCAACTGAGCCACTCAGGCGCCCCTCTTGATCATTTCTGTAGGGCAGCTACAAAGGGAGGAATAGGACTTTGACTGTTTATGTTGACCCAGTAAAATAATCCTGACTTATTTTACTGAAAATCTGTTACTGACTAAGGTGATTTTAAGGTTTGTTGTTGTTACTTATATCAGTTTGGAATGCTGACTGGTTCATGTGGACTCTTGTTAAGAATATGAATCAAATGTGCCATGGCTAATTCCAGCCCATGATAATGGATGTATTCTAATTTGCTATGCATGTGGAAGAGTGCTTGTGACATATAAAGGCTCATGGGTGCCATCAGTTAAACCTCTTAGCCTAAAGAGATATTATGGTCTCTGTAGAAATCAATTTGTAGGGAGAGTAAATGAATTTGACTTACCAACTCCCAAAGCATCTCAGAGTAAGTAAACTTTACTGGTAATGGCATTTAAATTAGAAGTTTTAATTAATATTCATCTATTTAAATTCATATATCCCTAGTAGGTATATAATATCTCCTTAATATAAATGTCAGAAATCATGTGAAAATAATTTATTAAGCATATATGTCAAAAGGAAGACATTTACAAAAAGTAGAAAAGATTGTACTGTTGATATTCTAATTCTATTACACCATTTATCATTTTTAATTTTCTGATTTTAAGAAATAATTAAGGGTAATACATCCTCATTTCCTATTAACCCACACTGTATCTGAGAGTTCTAATTACGTGTGGAAAGGGCACTTGAATATGGGGAAGGGATGTGCTTTGGGGGCTGCCCTGAGATCCAATCTACCGGCATCCTGAGACCACTGAGAAGTTGGCCTCATGGCTCAGTCCACCTCCTTGGACTTTGAGGTGGAGGTGTGGGAGTCCACCTTTCACCACAGGATGAACAAGTTGCACCGTCTGCAGTGGCCAACCCCTTCATGCAGCAGAGGTGCATCAGCCCATGGTGCTGGGCTATATCATCCTCACTGGGACTGTCCTGATGCCAGTCTGTGAGTCCTGCATCACCTTCCTCTTCATTGTCCTCTGGCCAGTGTCCTCACTTTCCACCATGAGCGGTTCTGCTTCACCAGTCAACCCTGCGAAGAGTTGGGGGAAAAACTGGTGCGACCACCGCTCAAATTCTTGTTTCAGGCAACATTCTGTTCAGCAGGGTTCCTGGTTCAAGTGAAAGGGGAAAAAGCAACCCGAGATGAGGCCCTCATCTGTGTTATGGCCCCACACTCCACTTTCTTTGACCAAATCGCCTGTGTGGTGGCAGTGTCACCATTGGTGGTCTCGGCAAGTCAAAACGGGCAGATCCCAGTGGCTAGAAAACTCCTACTGTCAACACAGCCTGTGCTTGTGATCCCAGAGGACCCCAGTTCCAGGAAGAATACCCGGAATGAAAACCTGAAGCGAGTGACATCCGAAAGGAAGTGGCCACAGATCCTGATTTTCTTGGAAGGAGTGCATACCAATTGCACCTGTTTGGTCACTTTTAAACTAGGGGACTTCTCTCCAGGTGTTCCTGTGCAGCCAGTGCTACCCAGGGACCCAAATACACTGGACACAGTGACCTAAGCCTGGCAGGGGTTTGCAGGTTTCTAGGTCTATATGTTGACCTTGAGTCAGTTCTTCACCAAAGGGGAATGTGAGTTTATGCCTGTTTATACATCAAATGACCAAGAAAAAAAAAAAAAGACCCAGCCCTTTTGCCAATACAGTGAGGATCAACATGGCAAATGCTCTGGGATGGGGGGGTTCTGTAACAGACCACACTCAGGAAGATTGTAGACTGATGATTTTCACGGGTAACCTTCAATTACCCATGGAAGCTAGTTTGATGGAATTACAAAAATTAGCTAGAAATTGAAGGTAGATTGGGGTACTATTCATTAGCATCTGGATGAATATGCTGCAATTGCAGTTGCCACTAAAGGAGTTGCCACTATAGGAATTGAAGAATTTGCAAATTACTTAAATGTCCTAATTTCAGAGCCCTTGGAACAATTTTTTGCCCCCTTTGACAGGAATAATGATGGCATATAGAATTCAGAGAATATGTGACAGGTCTGACTATCCTATGCAATCCTGCCAGTACTGAGAAGATTCTGCAAGTGTCATTTAAGCTTTTTGATCTTGATGAGGAGGGTTTCATAATAGAGGGAGAGTTAACTGCTATACTTAGGGCAGCCTTTGGAGTGCCAGATCTTGATGTTTTGAGACTCTTTCAGGACATATCTGGACAGAATTCAGATTACATTTCATACAAGAACTTTAAGAAATTTGCCTGAAGCTTCTAGAATATACCAAGTTATTTAATTCATACTTAGACCTCTAGACAGTCTCTATATATTCATTACCATATTAACCGTTTAATTGCTGTATTCAAATATTAAAGTCAGCCCTGAAAATGGTGAAAGTACCTTCCAAATAGAAACTATGATTGAAATAAAATTATCCTTTGAGGAAAAACACAATAGTTTTTACTCTAAGTAGCTTGAGCCCTTAATTATGATACATAAAATGTGCTTGAGAAATATATATTTCTATTAGATCTTATAGTACCTGTTTTCCTTAAGATATGTTTGTTTCAATGTGACTAAAGGTAGAGAATAAGAGATCTATTTATAAGAAGTGCTAAGATGGAGGCATAGTAGGAGGACCTTAGGCTTGCCTTGTCCCTTGAACACACCTAGATAACTATCAAATCACTTTGAATACCCAAGAAATTGACCTGAGGACTGACAGGACAAAGTGCACAAGTAGAGGGAGAGGAGAGGCCACACTGGGGAAGGTAGGAAGCGTGGAAATGCAGTTTAGGGGAGAAATGGGTAGTGGGTGCTGTGGAGGGGAGGGACCTGTGGTCACAGAGAGAAGGGAGCACACAGGGGAACACACAGGGAGAACTCTTTCCCAAAGCCATTGGCTGGGAAATAAGAGGAGTGGATTTCTGTGAGTTTTTGCAACCAGCGGGGCTCAAAGAATGGAGTTTTAGAGGTTGGCAAGCTTGGCTGCGATAGTCTTGAACGCACTGCCCTACTCCTGGAAAGAAGGCAGACGAGCAACCCCAGGGCAGACAGTATGATCTGAGGATTGCCTAAGGAGCACAGGAGGGACTGTTCTCTCTTCTTAGAGCATATCTGTGAAAGGTGGCATTCGCAGAGTCACCTCTCTGGGGACAAAAGAGCCAGCAGGTGCCATTTCCCTCCTCCGCCCCTCAGCATAGGCACACAGAGACACCTGCTGAGGGCACCTAACCCAGACACTGGCGGTTTAGCCTGCTTTGCTCCAAATCCTATGCCCCTGTGCTCTGGCATGACTGCCTTTCTTGGCCAAACCAGCATCCATTCCAGTGCAGTGAAACCCTCCCCCAGAAGACCAGTTCAGGCCCCTGCCACAGCACGTCCCTAAAG